CTTACCAAAACTTTCCAGTGACATTTTTTTGTTGTGGTTGTTTTATTTTGCCTTTGTGTTTGTTTTCTATTTTTTCCATTTGCTGTCGCTGTAAAGCGTTGTTATGACACTTATTTATAGCAATGCCAACAACAAATTAAGACGCAATACTCGTAGAATCGTAGAATCGTCTGATTAGCGTTTCGATCTGTCAGATTTAGACACAAGCACAAAACGCAAAAAAAAAAAAACTGGCTGGCGCCTCTCTTTGTGGTTCTACTACCCCTACTTACCGCCCCACCTACCTCCCTCCCTCCTGCCTTCGTCATGCGCTACCTGCCAACCACCCACACGAACGGTGTTCCGTTCATATCTGGAATAAATGCCGCTTAAACGCCCTGAACTGATAGCCAAGTCAACAATCAGTTTGATTTCATTTGCCTCGCTCGGTCGTTACATAAGTTTAGTTCGTTTTATTTTTGTCATTGATTAGCACTTGGAGCAACCGCAGCTCTACTTCGACTCAAATCGAAAATGTATCATATATACATACACATATACATACATACATACATACATCAATATACAATATTTTATGGTTTGCTAGAAAACCGTTTAAAATGTCATTTGTCATCAGCAAAACATTTATGGCGTCAGCCGATGCACGCATGCTTTATGAAAAGCATTGCCTGATACGCGAACTGGAACTAGTTCGAGCCCCAATTGAACTAGTGCATCTGCCCCGATGATGCTCGAGTGTAATATTCCAGGCAGGCATTGTTTTGAAAGGTGTGTTTGAATAGACAGGCATAATGGTTGCGTTGTAAGCGAGGGCCTTAGAAGTATTTATTTAGCGTGAGCGTTGCCAGATTGTCGCTATAAATGCCAGAATAGAATAGAAGCAGAGAAAAAGTTGGGACTATTATAGGCATCATATGATGTAGCCAACAACCTGATATAACTGATATAACTGGTATAGTTATAGCATACCATGAAATCTGCCTCAACGTTGCCATACTGATAATAATAATTCAACTGTTTCTTATTGGAAAACGTTAAGCTATAGCTTCTTGAGTAATCTGCCTYAGCGTTGCCAGACTGATGATATATAGAAAAATATAGATATGGTATTAAGAACTTCTAATTCAGCTGATTCTTAATGGATTTCCAATTAAACTATACTATATAACAAAAGCTTGTGTAATATGCCTAAGCGTTGCCAGACTGCTGATATATGCTAGAATAGAAACTGGGAGATTACTCAATTGTTTCTTACTATAATCTATAGGCAACAAATTCAAATCTATATCTGCTCTAGCTATACTGTGAAACCTGTCCAAGTGTTGCCAGATTGTGATAAAGAACTTCTTATTGAATTGTCAGGTATTTATAGTTACATAGAAAATATGTTAACATAGCCGTTAGCTGATAAAAGTTCCACAATCTGAAATCTTTATCTATAAAAATGAATTCGAAATGTGGCAGGTGCAAGCCAAAGGGTTGCCAGATGTCTAGTGGCTCACTTTCTCTTAGATAATCTGGCATTGGATCGTTAGCTAATAGAACATATAATAGCCTAATGATTGTCATATCATTTCTCACATCTCAGTTCTCACATCCCACAGCCATAGAGACGCCTTGCCTTGCCAGCAGCTATACAGTTAAGGTGTTAAATTTAACTACATAGATAATTATCTGTTGTTATGTGTTCTGTTCATCACACCGAA